GAAGACGATTGGGAAAATGTTCCAAGGTAATGAGATCATTCCTATGCCTGTGCTGTCAAAGTTGAATGAAAAGTTTTTGTTCATTTGGGATCCTTTTTGAAAATTCCTTATTCAGGTTGTTCGAAGCAGAAAAAAATTATTCATATTTCAACAGGGGCAAAATTTTGGGAGCAAGACAAATTTTTGCTGCGTAGTTAATCATTGTTATGGTGTAGCTTCCGGTTTCACAGGAAAAGACGTCATCTATGATGTTTTCGAAGGAACACATTGTATTTTACATAGTTTTTGGATTTCTCCCATGATCTTCACCCAAATGAACCGTTGTTGAATTGTTCGAGCTTTTCTAGAGAAAGTGATGAATGCAATGAGAACGCAATTTTCATTAGAATTAAAATTTTTGGTGGTATTAAAATCTTAGATATTGGAGGTTGAACGGATAACTGACCATAATCACCATCACTGAATAATTCACAAGGTGGGCAGGAAAGTAAGACCAAGAAGTGAACGTGGAACATCAAAAAAGCCCAACTCTTTCAATTCAATAGGAACCAAATTTTTTCGTTGATGTAGGTATTGTCACGATTTTGTCTTTCATAGACTGAACTTTTTTCATGTGATGTCACGATTGATCAATAAAACCACTTTCTGGTACTACTGTTACTTTTTTAACCATACATTACAAATCTTGAATCATTCTCATCGATTCCTTACAGAATAGAATCGACCATTCGTTCGTCATATAACAGGTGTTATTGCTTTCTCCCAAACCTAACCTACAAAAATCAGAGTCCTGTTAGAATGCCAGCAACCACCAATCAGAATACAACAAATGTGGTGGGAATATTTCAGCCCAGTTCATGGAACAGACTATGCTGTGAAAAAGAAGCATGAACCAACTAAACGATAATAAAAAGAACGCGATATTCAAAAGGCAAATGTAATAAAAGTGCTTTCGAGTTTGAGGTAGTGAATCAGAATTGGGGCTTATTTTGATCAAAAATTTGAATTATGAAAATAAAAAATGGGGTATCCCTTTGGAAATGTTGAGATTTTGAATGTTTCACAATCACTTCTTGAACACACTTTTCTGTGCATCCTGTGAATTATTCAGTGTTGGTGATTATGGTTGAATATTCTTCAATATTCACGATTCAATCACTGTATACGATCACCAAAAAATTCCAATCCACAACTGTCATTTCTTCAAGGAGAATGCGATCAACTCAAAATCGGTTCATTTCAGGTATTTCCAGGGTATGCATTTGAATCGAAATCATAAGAGTAATGAGAGAATTATGATAAGTATAGGCTGTTCCATCGGAAATATCATAGATGACATCACTTCCGGAGAAACTGAAAGCTTCACAAAAAGGAGAAAATATTAGTTTTATTCTCCATGTTTCCTTTATCGCCCATATGAATTATCAGAAAAGTGGAACTCCTTAGTTCTCCATATATAGATCGCGTTAACTCATGAAATTATACCCTGTATGATAGCCATATCATTAACCATGATAACCATCATTTTATATCACGTTCAAGTTCAAATCGCAAGATCTTCCAGAGATTCAATTATCGATCTAATTGCAACATTATTAATCTGTCAATTAACCTCTCATTGTAAGAAAATGCCTTCTTTAACAAAAAACTATTTTCGCAACAAGATTCATTCTCCTATAATTGGAGAGATGCATGATACATGATATTATATTCAGGCTGAAAATGTGCATGATGTTGCTGCAATAATGCTATAATTGCAATATTGGTCTGCATTCCAAGCTCTAGTGCAAAATGAAAGTTGCAAGTAGTCAGGTATAAAATCCTGAAGTAAGCCCTATTCAAAAACTATCCTCGTAAAAATAGAGAAATGATTGCACAATCGATCTCTGCAATCAGGCTGTAATCATTGCAGAAATGTTGCTCGAATCAACTGAATCGAAATCTTGGAAATATTTTTGTTGATTTTGATTCTTCATAATTTTCGACTGCATCAACCGATTTTAATTTTTTTTTTGGGTTTTTGCATATCTTCAGAATGAGATTCTACAGGATGTACAACATTTCGGAAATGTTAGAGGCTTTCCTTCTGGAGGCAACATTTTTCAAGTTTTTCTTGATATCAAATGATATCGACAATATATGTTTCTTCTCAACTGTTTGCATAATTGAGTAATTATTAATATTGGCTCTGCTTCCTTGTGATTTCGAATCGAACGTTATTGGCATACTTATTTTCTTGAAACCAGTCTGTGTCAATGATTATGTCGATCATGTCATATCAATATTTTTGACCACCGTTCAAACAATAATGACAAAAACACACAGCCAATTGGAATTAGAGATTCAAATTATGCATTATCTTGTGAAATTGTTCAGTAATGAAGCTGACAATTCCAAAAATTCCGAAAAAGCTTCGAGAAAACAGATAGTATGATATATTTCACACCTCAGAAAGAATTTGAAGAACATGTTCACAAAGGAAAGACTTTTGAGATTTTTAAAAATTGCACAGCTCAAAATCTGATTCAGAAGGGATGCAATTATCAATATCATATTGATTAACAGAATTGAAAATGAACTGGGAATCAGTTATTCGGAAGTTTCAGAACGAATTTGCAATCAATAGAATCGCAAAATCAATATTTGTATGTGAGGGAGCCTACTAGCAGGTGTAAGGAAGTTGGAATACAAGTGACGTATTTATACCTGAACTTTTCAATGTTCTAAAATTGAAATATCCCACAATCAAGATATTATTTAAAAGATTTCAGAGGTATTGAAATTAGCAACATTCATGTGTGGATCAAATAACAATTGCAATTGCATGAATGATCTTCAAATGAAGAAATTGCATTGTTATTTGAAGTTGAACCCAGTATATCTATAGATGGATGTAGCAATGAATGTATATGGAAGCTTGCCATTGATGCAATATGGGATATTCAATAATTGGTAAGTATCACAATTTGAGCTCAATTGACAGATCAATATGTCAAGTAAAATGGATAGCAAGGAAACATAACTATATGTTCCTTCGTGTCATGGCCATTATGGAGAACTGACAGTTATTCAACAAAGTTTTCGGTGAATTTGCGATAACCATGGCAGGTTATTGATATCCCCTTCGATTTTGATACTTCAATTATTCACTGAACGCTTCTTCTTCTTCGAAGTTTTTGTAGGCTATGTCTTGAATGCCTTAGAGGGCTGTGAAACTGAGCTGCATGCTATTCCTGCTACCATTTGCTGCAAAATTCTTCAATGCCTGCATGACATCCTGTTAAAAACGACCCCTTTCCGTATCAGATCAACAATGGACCTGATTTTTCATTGTTTTTCGCTCGATGGTTTCATGTCGCTTACTTCCATCTGATCAGGGGTCCAGCTGGATTCTATAAACTTCATGATTTTGATAAGAGTAATAAAGTAATAGGCACACAGGGCGCCCAAAAAACTTCTTGTTTTTCAACTCCCCATATTCAAACGAACTACTCAACAACCAAACCTCAACAATATGAAATACTTTTGGAGCACTGATATTTCTGGTTGACTTACTAGTTGGTGTTCACAGAGTTACTTGATCCACGGTTTTGTGCATATTCAGGCAAAAAGGAGAGTGGTGTATGTGAACTTCAAGACTGCAGAGGTAAAAAAAGGTGACAAGTAGCTGCACAGCAGCCTACTTCTACCAACAAAAAGCAAAATATGTATTCGAGTTTATTTTTGAAACTATAACTGTTGATTCCGCTGAGTTGGGGTTGTTCCGGTAGAGATAATCAGGAGAATATCTGTTTGTTGTACTAGGCAGGAGAATAGTAGATTGACTGCCTAGGCTGATAGTTCATAGCCGAGCGTAGCGAAGCTAGGAATTCAGCCAAAAGGCAGTCAATCTACTTTTCCTGTCGTGAAAACATGTAATTTGTCCTTCAATTGTTATTAAACTGTAATCTTCATCATTTCATTCTCACCCAATGTCAGTGTCAATTTTGATTACCAATTTCATTGTATGGAAAAACTCTGAAACACTTCAACTACAATTTCCAGAGAAACATCGTTCTGAAATATTTTGAGCCCTGCGGCGTTGCTGCTTCTAAAGAAAAGTAGCAACAACTTTGTTATTTCAAATGGAACACCTTTTATTTCATTGCATTTTCAGATTCTTCCCGAAGAGCTAATATCATCGATGCATCACACTTGTGATCAAGCGGCAATGATGACAGAGATATAGGGTGTTCAAAATAGATATTTTTCAACCTTAGGATTCTTTGGGTCGAAACTATTCATCATTAGTCAAAGTGGCTCATTTGACCCTATCCCAACTTTCGATTCACTATCTACTGAGATTTTATCGAAACATATACAGGGTGGCTCAAGATTCAAAATTCTGAATACCCTGTATCTGTTCCGATTAAATGTCAGTAGATAGTAAATCGAAAGTTGGAATATAGGGACATAAGAGCCGTTTTCATCAATAATGAATAGTTTTGACACAAAAAAATGCTAGAATTGAAAAATCTTGATTTAGAAAACCCTATATCCCTGAAATAATTCCAGCTAGACCCTGAGTGTGATGCATTGATGAAATCAGCTTCCCGAAGAGAATCTGAAGATGCTATGAGATACAAGATATTCTATTTGAAATAACGAAGTTTCTGCTTCTTTTCGTTAGAAGCGCGGCAACGCCACAGGGCTGAAAACATTTTAGAACGATGTCCATCTCAAAAAAGTAGTTGATGTGTTTCAGATGTTTCTCATTATGTGGTTTTGGCGACCTACAGAGCCTCTGTTTCGTTTTCGAAGGACCACCCTGTATAGTCTCAAGAGACTACTAACTCAGGGCTGATTGATAATTCTTGTAGAAGCTTACTAGTGGGTATATGTATCAATGGTTGTAGATATGATGATCACCTGTGCTCCCTAGATTTTTCCTTTCTGAAAATTCAGCTGGACGACTGATGGGTAAGAACTCTGCAGGATAATAAACTCCCTTCTTCTTGTAGGCCCGTCGGTGTGTGGGGCAAGATCGTTGGCTCACTGTGTGCGATTGCTGGCGTTCTGACGATTGCGCTGCCTGTCCCTGTTATAGTGTCAAACTTCAATTACTTCTATCACCGTGAGACGGATCAGGTGAGTTTTTCAATGGCGATTTCTCACTCAACATTTTTGACCAATTGAGAGCCTGTATTTTGTATCGTTGCTATGGCAACTGAACAAATTTTCTAGAAAATGTTTCCTCCTACTCATCAGGGTTCTAGAAAATGTTTCCTCCCCCCTCATCAGGGATCAGGATCAGGGACCCTGATCGATGCGTTCAGAAGAGTTTCGTAACTGTAATTTTAGTTATCGATAGATTTTCAAGAGAAATTAGGAAATTGTATATGTTCATGGTTTGATAGAAGTCAGAATTGGACAACCAAAGAAGATGTGGTATGATGTTTGGAAGGACTCAGCATTACAGATAGTGCACTCTCCACCGAAACTAATATTCTGTGATTGGGGATCATTAGCGAGCCAAGATTCACTTAACACGTTGACTGCCTATATGAGATGTGGGGATTTCCCGAATAACCGACATTTGTTATTGTTCAAATTTGTGAAAAACAAAGTCCTTAGTGTTGTGATGGTTATTCCAGTTGATTTTTAAGAGTCATTAGACCTGAAAATAGTATGACTCAAGGGTTGAGTCACCGGCCTCTGAGGTCTGTTTGAATAACGACAGGCCGATGACTCAACACTTGAGTCAGACCCTAAATTGAACTTTGCAATGAAAACTAAATATGAATTGCATGCCAAACCTTTATTCAACAGTGAGATACATTGTTTTCAACATACTAAACAAACAGAACTCAACAAAGTCAACAAATAAGAAGATTATTGCCAAAAAAACTGAGAAATATAATTTTCTGTCATGATATATTCGGAAACAATTTCCGAGGCAAAGTCCCGGTTGGTCGTCACTTACAGGACAGAAAAATGGGGTATTCTTGCGAATTTTGTTTCCATAGCAATTCTACTTGTTCAGCAATTGATAAAGGTCTCTTTTTTTCGTAGTCTGTTAGCCTTCTTTTAGGCCTAGATGGCCCTGGGATTCCAGCATCCATTACAGAAAGACACAAACACGATCGCGAAACCAATACAGTAAAAATACACTTTTATGCTCTCACGAGAGGCCAACGTAATATGTAGTTTCCCTGACAAAAGCCGAAGCTATACTGGATCATGATATATCAGAGTGCACATGACCCAGCAATTGAGTCATCGGCCTTTGGTGGGGGTCCGTCATGACTCAACAGTTGAGTCACTGGCAGTCAACGTGTTGAAGAGAGAATGTTAAAAACACTTCGTTTATTCAAAAACTCACTAAGATCGAAATCCCCCTGCATGTTCCATATGTAGATCTTTAACGGTTGATACTGCTCTTCATTGTCAGCTGCATTGATTCATCAATTCACGATTGATCTTAGCGCATACAACCAATTATTCAACATTACACGACGCCCCTTTACCTGCAGGAGGAGATGCAGTCGCAGAACTTCAACTACGTGAACAGATTTCAGATTGCTTGTTTACGTAACTTGAAGTGGCTAGAGGTGGTACATTTTCAGATATGTTGATCTGAAGAAAAACTACAACGATACGTTCTCAAGATATTGACAGCGAATCTCGAATCATTATACTCCCTACATCATGATCTTAGCGCACACAACCTAACACATCCTTGTACCTCCAGGAGGAGATGCAGTCGCAGAACTCCAACCAGTTGAACAGATTTCAGATTTTCTGTTTACGTTACTTGAAGTGGCTGCTGGTCAGAGATGGTACATTCTCAGATATGTTTGTTAATTTGAAGAGAAAGTCGAATCTTGATTTAAACTCTCTATATATCATGATCTTAGCGCACACGATATAACACATCCTAATACCCTCAGGAGGAGATGCAGTCGCAGAACTTCAACCACGTGACCAGCTGCCCGTACTTGCCCGGCACATTGGGTCAGCACATGAAGAAGAGCTCGCTGAGCGAGTCGTCGAGCGAGCTGGCCGAGCTGGAAGAGGGCCTCATGGCGACGCGCGACCAGCTGGCCAGGAAGCAGAACTGCAACCCGCGCCACAACAACAACATCAACGCCATGAGCATCGAGACTGATGTCTGACTACGAGGTGGGTGATTTGCGTGTTTCCGCTTCGATTAGTTGTGGCCAGCGTAGTCTCCTGGTGAAAGTGTCAACGTTCTGTTCATGTTGAATTGCCGATAGGTGGATTCGATTTCCACCAAGATCGAGGACCTCATTCTCATTCTTTGCTCGCACAAGTCTCTTGAATACTTCTGAGGCTTGCTCGTAAAGTGGCAACCGGATGATAGATAATCCAGTAATTTTATACATCACAGTCTGCGTCAGATCCGGTAGTTCTGATTTTCCGCAGACTTGTTCATGATGTTGACCTTATGAATATTCCAAGTTTGTGACCTTGAGCGCCGAACGCAACTTTGTCAAAAATCGAAAGAAATGCGAAAAAATCGTTTTTTTTTCAGTTTCTGGCGATTATAACCTTGAGGATTAGTTATGGAAAAAAAACGCTTCCCAAGCGTTTTTGAAGAGGACTAAATTTGCTACAATATGGTATAAAAATTGTCTCTGTAGACTCATTTGTTTCCGAGATTGAGCCTTTCAAAGTTGATCATTTCTTTTGAACTTCGCAATTTTTTTGCAATCCTGTCGTTCTGATTGGATTTTGACCCTGATTATACAATCGAAGCCCTGTACTTTCATAATGAGATGATAAGAAAGAAAATGAGGAGTGAACGAGGATGTTAAAGCTGAGCTACGAATAATGAAATAAAAAAGATAAGTACAACAAAAGTTTCGACAAGTTTATTTGTCAGGAAATAGAGTTATATTGAAGATGAAAAAATTTGTTCAATTGAGCCCTCTTGGAAGGTCCCGGTTGAGGTTCGTCTAGATCGACGTATTGGAATGGCATATCCCCATCAGGGGATGGTGATGAATCGTCGACGTCTTTCGCCCACAAGTCATCCTCCACTTCAACATGGGACAGATCGTCGCCTTCTGGGAAATCTACTACTACAATCAGGTACATTGATACAAGAGGCCCAACTGCAGTGCCTGCAGACTGATGAGCATTCAAATCCTGACTTTCTGTAGCTGCTCGCGTTCCCACAACCCTTCGTGCAGCCACAAGAAATCATCCGCAAGAGGTGTTGTAGGGCTGCATCTCTGGTCATCATTTTGAGATTGAGGCCTCGTGGCCCCCAGGAGAGAGGGTTCAGTGTTATTCCCAACCACAACTGTACCTACCTGTTACGAGATTGTACATGAGAATGAAGAATTATGAAAGATATTATGTAATGTGATTTGCCTACTGATGCAAGAACAAATTTTTCACATTCCTACTGTGATTCTGTGGAAAACTCTGTGCATTATCAACAGATAAAAGATTTATCAAGAATGAAAAGAGAAATGTGGATAGCAGTTATCAAGAAAAAAAAATCTAACAACAAAATCAATCATGAGAAACCAAAGGCTGTGTAGCAGGTACCTGAGAGAAAACCAATACTTATTATATGCGATTACCCTACAACCAGGCGCCATCTTGTCAGCTGAAAAGTCCCGTGGTTTAGATTGCCTAGAAAGTTTGAAAACGTGCTACAGGTGGCATTCGTGACTTCACAAGAACCATAGATCTCACGAACAGTACTAGCACACTCCGTCGGAGGTAATTGAAACTTCATCCTGCTAGAGTATATTCGTGTGACGCCTAGAACATAGCAAAAATTTTTTCGAAAAAAATCGAAAAAAATTATAAACTTTGAAAGGCTTAATTTCGAAAAATATTGGGTCTACAGAGACAGTTTCTGTATCATATTGCAGCAAATTTGATCTGCTTTGAAAACGTCCTGAGAGTTTTTTTTTTTCAAAAACTAGTCCTTCAGGGTTATAATCTTCAAAATTTGAAAAACTTACGTTTTTCCGGGTTTTTTCGATTCTTGACAAAGTTGCGTTCGGTGCTCGAGGTCACAAACTTAGATCATTCATTAGGCCAACATCATGAACAGGTCTGCAAAAAATCAGAAATATCGGATTTGACGCATTCAACCCCCATATGTTCAGGCGACAAAGTTACTGGAGTAAGATAAGAACATTTTTCAGAATAATCAGTCCACGGAATAATAATTTTTCTACAAATGCTATTAAAAAGAGCGTACGTATTTTTGATAGTTTCCTTAGTTCCAGAATCATGTATTGCTCACCCACTAAACATGGAAACATAACTTAAATGTAAAAATTTCACAATTTTTTTCATAATATTTGCTATGGATTTCCATCAAGTAACGGCCGAGTCAATTCAAAACAGAACCCAAACATGAATAATATGATACATTATTACTCTGTGATCTTATTCAACGGAATGCTCAATGTCACAGATACCTACATATACATGCATAAAATATATCAAGCAATACATAAAATGATGTTACTTCTTCATAACGTATATTTATTGTGGGAAGTGAGTGGATAAACTATTATCACAGAATTTTATTGAGCTAGGACTTCATGTCGTTCATGAATTCACCACTGAAAGTCGAAAATATAACGCACCGTTTCCAATTAACATACAACATCGTGAAGAGCAAAAGGCAGACTCGAATGAATGTCTTATGATGCCTGTAATTTTGGTTTGAAGCTTATTTAGCAAAATTCTCCCACGCCTCGGTATTTTTGCAAAGTAGGCGATATCAAGAGATTTAGCCAGGAGAGTAGTTAATTTCTGTTGAACATTCAGATTGACATTATGTGCATATACATATTTTTATCTGAAGGTGAATGCAAATACTTGATTTCAGAAGATTTTGTTTTCAAATTCTTATCATGTGTGTTCAATGGATATGATTCAATGTTCGTCGTGGCATATAGCCAGGAAAGTAGTTATTTCCCTGTTGAAAAAAACGAGGAAGAATAATAATTTTCATCACATAGAGAATGCGAATTCCCAAGGTTTTTACATATTGTTAACGAATTTTCCAACCAATATTGCTCAAATATTGTAGCTGACAATTCACGTTTACCCTAGGTTGAACCAGTAATATTCCATCAATATCATCATTAAAATATTGTATTTTCAATTTACTCCCATATTGGACCATGATTATTTTCATATTCACAATATACCTATGTCGGCCTAATATGAAATCAGGAATATTACTTTATTGATACCATCAACTTGCCAACTCATTAAAAGTTACACGATGTTTCAATTGAGATATTGAATTGATATTCGAACGAAATTTCATCTCATTATTCATCTCATATTCGAAATTGAAGTGAAACAAACTTTATTGATTCAAAAATCATCTTATTGTTTAGAATAACTTCGAAAAAAATTCTCCCATGATTCATTGACTTCCGATTCAATTTCCATAATAGCAAATGACGGATTATGCGCAATATGGGAGATCTAGTGAAAATCCATCAATTGTCGGGAAAATGCTGTAAATTCTATGCATCTATCAGGCTGATGGTCCATTGTCATTTAATTCCTGTGATCTTTGTTGAATGGATTATACCCATCTATTCCCCGATGCCTTGAAAATGGTGTTATATTGATCCATATAGGAAATACACCATTGTACCAAAACAATGCAACTGCAACATACGTATTATATGATTGAAACAGCAATAAACATCTACTTTTTCATCACCGAATTATAGTGCCAGCAGTATGCTTCCGATCAAATCAATGGGCCATTGAATCGCCAGCAATGTCGTATTTGCTGGAGTTTAATCAATGTGGATGTGTTATTTCTCGAAGAAACACATATCTATTATAAGCATACAACAGAGAGAAAGAATTGAATAAAAATACATAATCTTGAGAAATCTTGAATGGACTTAGGATTGTCACAAAGGCATCACTAGATTTTTCGGTATCAATGAGGCCAACCTGGCTGCAAAGTCAAGCTTCAATCTCTTCATGAAGTTACTGAAAGTTGAAGATCTAAATTCCACGGAAAGTGAACAATGATATTCCGTAGCTCTATAAGGGGAACTGCAATTGTTCTTGCGTGAATTCAGATGCAAGGAAACTAGTTCATTTTTCATGCATGAATTTTCATCTCCATCTCCTGATGTTAATCTGAAAATCTCAAAAATCTTGTTCAATGTATGTAAGTGTTTCTTGATTTCTGTCAATTCTCTGATTGGAGTTGTATAAAAGTGTATATATATATATATCGTCTGAAGATAAATTTTTGGGTATGTCAGTAGTCATTGCATGCAGTTTTCCATCATTTTCATCTTTCATCCGTCCTAATTTGTGAACGAATGTTATATTTTTTTGTTAGATCAGTTCGTGTCTAGGCAGATAGTATTATCTTCGATGATCAGACAGTTCTCTCACTTCCAAGATCACTTACCTATATGCAGTATACACATTACCTCTATTGTACTACAATAGTTATGAAATTACACCAGATACAGCTCACCACGATACAGCTACTTGTGGCGCACTCCATATACAATAACACAAAGAAAATTTGGCATTCTCACAATAACAATAACTTGCGAAAATGTTGATTATCTGAAGCTCTCTACAAACAGGTGGTGTATCTCATTCGAGAATCCCTACAGGGTGATTCATTTGGGAAATGCGCATACAGTGAGGGTATATAAAGGACACCAAGGTGCTCCTGAATAATCTGTATTTCATGTGTCTATCGTTCTTTAAAATCCAGATAGAGGATGAATACATTTGATATCTGGTTTGTATGTACATATTTGTATGTACTTTGTCCACGATGTTGATGATTGTCATAATGAATAAATCGATTCCAGGGCCGGACTTGAAAAAAATGAATAGGTAGGTTTCAAGTCAAAATAACACCATTTATATCAATATATCATTCACAAATTTGAATATTGCAGGAAAAATTGGGTGAAACTAGATGTTTTCAATTGACTTGGTCATTATACTTGATGGAAATTATATCAAATCTAAAAACTTTACAAACGATGAATCAGATAAAATACTAGTACAATGAACTAAACCTCGAACTAAACTAACCTTGGCTTGCCTTACTTTTATATATCCTATTTTCCCAACCTGAGAGATGAGAATTACTGTTGTCGAAAGTGCC